TCTTTGGTAGGCTATAGAACATGAAGAAAATGCACTCAAGGGTCTAAGATAACCCCATCTCTTCCCAGCTTTTGAGTCCATAAGCTCCAGGTAGAGGGAAACTGCTTCAAACATCTGTCATGAGCACCAAGTCAAAGAAAAAAGGCTTCCTTCCATCCAGCACACACTCCTATGTACTATGTTGGTTTTTGCTTAGCTCTGACAGTATGGCCACCCATATGTCCCCCTGCACACACACACTGGCTCACACCATAGCAGGAAAGATCCAGGCCTCCTATGAGCAGCATGTCTTTGTTGCTGAGGGATTTGTCCCAGTAGACAGCAATAGTCACCCTGTGAACAGTGACCACGCTGCTGACTGAGTTACGTGAAAACTGGGGTGATTGAGTCTTAAACCCAAACTTGCACCCAAAGAAAGCTTTTTGAAAGAACACTTTTTCACAGATTTCTAATAATACCAGGTCCAGAGTGGCAGACACAACCTTCAGTGAGGGTGGAGCAAACCCATTGTTCATGTGAAGGGTGACTCCAGTGATGGTCAGCCTAACCTCTTACCAAGAAATAGGTCAGCTCCTAACCAAGGCCACAGCTACACATGAATGCAGCCAACACTCTCATTTCCATAGGGCAGGGTACACCTTGGGAACATTTACTTCCATAATTGCTTGCTCCACACTCAATATTTGAAAGTAATGGAGAGGAGGAGATAAGAAGACATGAAAAAAAAAAAAAAGAAAAGAAAGCTTCAGAGACCAGGGTCCAGGAAACAAATGTTTTCAGTAAACAGGAGATGGCAGAGATAACAACAGAACAGAAGAATACGGAACTTCATGTTTGAGAAGGAGAAAGAACGTGAAATTGGGAAGTTCAGCTCTTAAAGTAGAAGAAGCCAGCTGATGGAGGGCAGTTGATAAGGAGTACTGATAAAACAAAGCTGCTACTATTGTTTATTTAAAAAAGAAAGATGGAGAGAAGGAAGGAGAGAGAGAAAAAGAAAAGGAAAGAAAGAAAAAAATCTATGCTCTGAAAATCCCAGGGCAAGAGGGCAGATTCAAGGCAATTCTCAAGCAGACAGAGAGAGCTTCTTTGCTGGCTAGACTGCCCCTGTGCTTATTGGACTGACCAAGGACCTTGCCAACCAGAGCAGAAACCACCTCCTGCAAGCCCAGCTCTCTACATCATCAATCCAGTTTTCCCTGTGTCTCATTCTTCATGAAGTAGCCTTGGGCTGTAATGGGTTAATTAGTCAAACTATTCTAATTTGCTAATTGGGTCATATGGCACTTATCTGGGGAAATTATACATTAATAGTCACTTCTTGGCTATTTGATGATGATGGAGTCATTTAATATCTTCAGGCTTCCATTTCCTTGTCTTAATTAAAATAACGGGGATGAACATAATATCAAAGGCACTGGGTGATGTTTCAGCTGGGCCTGGTAGTGAAAATCCAGGAGGGCTCCCAGGGGCCGTTTCTAAGGCAAGGTAGGAGAGATGGAAGAGTGTCTGAAGGAAATGAACATAGCAGCAAAACTGCCAGGGAGACTGCAAGCTGAGCATAATTATTACCGCATCCTCCAGGGGGAAAGGAAGAGCCATGCAAAACGTCCCTGAGGGGCCTGGACTTCCTATTATGTTTATTAATCATCTTGATGAAAACGGAGAGTCTGCATTGATTAAATTCACTAATGATCCTACGCTGAGCAGGGGAGTAAATTCCAGAAAGGATGGATTTATAAGGTAAGCGCTAATATTAATCAACTCGTCTTCACGAAATGGGTGGCAATAAATGAAATAGGATTTGCAGTAGCAAATGGCAATGAGGGGCACCTGGCAGGGAAATATAATGAGGGCAGATCCAAGCCAGGAAGCAGTTATTCTGGAAATGGTAAGAGAGCGGGGGAGTAGAGAATGAATGCTAAGTTAAAAACAAGCTGCAAATAAACTCTCCAGGTGGATCGCAATCTTACTCCCAGTCCTTTGGTGACGAATGTTGGAGAGTGAAGCCACAAGAATGGCAGAGTTAGAAGCAGCCAGGGAATGAAGTGTGACATCTACAGGAAAGGGACCCGAGGCCCGGAAAGGCTAGGTGTTAGGAATTAGGTCAGAGTAGGAAAGCCCAGAGTAGCATGTTCCTTCTTCACTCTGTCCCCCATGGGGTGGCAGAGACTATCACTCTCTCTTACAGCCTGAGTTTATTCTCGGAATCCTTCTCGGCGATGTACTGCATTCTCTGATTACTTAGCTGTCTCTTACTGAGATCATTGAACTTCACAGGGGCAGAACCATGGCTAAAATCCAGATCTGACTTTGCCTATGGCTGCTTCCTCACCCTCTTAAGTTCTACAGTGTCAAAAGCCAACACCAGCCGGGCGTTGGTGGCACACGCCTTTAATCCCAGCACTTGGGAGGCAGAGGCAGGAGGATCTCTGTGAGTTCGAGGCCAGCCTGGTCTCCAGAGCGAGTGCCAGGATAGGCTCCAAAGCTACATACACAGAGAAACCCCGTCTCGAAGAAAAGAAAAAAAAAAAAAAAAAAAAAAAAAAAAAAAAAAAAAAAAAGGTCAACACCAACCATAGCTTCAAGACTCAAGCATGCAGCAAACCCTACTGACTTCTTAGCCAGCATTCTCACCTTGGTCTCTATTATATTCATATTCATTTCCCCCACTCTTGTTTAGGGTGCAGTGTAGGGACAGCAATGAGAAGCGTCTACAGTTTCAGACCAGTGAGGGTTGTGTTATTTGAGAAACACATAAAACTATCTGTAAAAGGAATCCATGGAATACAAATGAATGAAGCTTCTGTCACAGGATGTGACAGAATTCATAATCTTGTTTCAAATTCCCTGAGACTAATGAGTCTTGGTTTTCTCTTGGGTCACAGAGTGAGTTTTATCTGTGCAAACAAAGCGTTTTTGAGAGAGACGGCCTGTGTGTACCAGGTCAGTTTAGTTCAGCTGGGGAGAAAGGGAGGGAGAGGAAGATCCACCTCAGCAAAATTATGAGGTAGGTGAGTCTGTCCGCCTTTCAGTTCCCTATACTCCCCTTTCAGTTCCTCTCCACAGGAAGCTCATGGTGCTACTGTGAGCACACACACACACACACACACACACACACACACACACACACACACACACACACACACACTATCAGTATAAAAATAAATAAGGCATGCTAATATATACAGCTAAAGTATCTTAATATCTTACACACAAAGAAGTTAATTATGAGATTGCTGTCGGGCACTGAACAGGAGTTCGGGGCAGCTTTCTCAGCCTCCTCACAGACTGAGATCAGGGCTCCACCTCTCGAGCCCTTCCACCATTCCTCTCGCCCCTGGAAATGTACCCAATAGCATCAGCTCTGACTCACAACTGCACAGGCTAATAGTTCGCTACCCAAGAATTTCCGGAGGACCCACCCTGTAGCCCAAGGGAATGAATTACTTTAGTAGAAAAATTTAGCGTGTACCTGAAATAAATTTCTCTTTAAGTATGCTGTCCAAATTGTTCTTAGCTTCTGTAAGAGGTGATGCAACCAGCTATAACCACTAAGTCCCCTATGCCAGTCTAATTTGCTAAGCACCTTGCAACACATAGGGTCCTATCACACCATGATGGAGTGCTAAGAGCTTGGGCCCTAGAGTACATTCACTCCATCTCAGATGCTTGCAGAGGTAAGTAAAGCACTCAAGTGTTCCAAATATACATCCATGTCTGAAGAATGGGCTTCTTGATAGATGCAACTAAGAGAGTATATGAAAATCACCTAGGATGGTGTTTTGCAAATATCTACGTATACCAGTCATTTCCTTTATCCAATAAATCCATCCCTCCATCCATAGTTGCTACCCGGTCCCTGTTAATTGTCATGTATGGTACTATTTAATTTGCCAAATAAACCAGTCAGTTTGATCACAAATAAAAAGAGGTATAAAACAACATACATGTCCAGGAGATGCCCAAATTAGTAGAGGTACCCACTATTTTTTTGACTAAAGGTTCAGGGATGGATCCAGGTTTCATAGGCCCTAATATTATTTAATTTTAAAAATCTTTTAAAAAGGAAACAAACAAATAAATTCACACCTGAGTACGGCAAAATTATGGTGATGGAGACCCTTTTGAGGCCGAGAGATGAGGAGCAAAAGAAGATGGGCTTGTTTCAAAAGATCAAAAGGAATAATCCTATGATACACAATTTGGCATCTTGACTGAGTGTAACATGAATGCTAACACTGCATAAGACCAAACATAAACAAATAATTATACATTAAATCCATAGGCTCTGAGAAAGATGGTGTAGGTCATCAATGCCATTTTTTTTTTTAGTTTTAAAATTATACTGTAGATTTTGCAAGATGTTGCATTGGGAGAAAATAGGTCAAAGAAAGATTGGATCTCTGTTTCTTTCCACAGCTTATGAACCTGCAATTATCTGAAAATAAAAAGTGTACTCTAAATAATTAGACAGGAGCTGGGGAGATACCTTGGCAAGTAAGAGAGCTTAATGTACAAGTGTAAGGGACTGAGTTCAAATCCCTAAAACCATATGAGAAGCTGGGCATACCTTCGTGGGGACCTGTTGAGGGCAAGGTGTGAGAATTTCTGGGGCTTACTGCGAACCAGCCTAGCTCCATGTTCAACAAGAGACTCTGTCTCAAGGGAACAAGGTAGAGAATGACAGAGCAGAATCCCCATGTCCTCCTATATCCTCCATGAACACACACAGTGCAAATACCTGCATATCCACACCTATCACATACAGCTCGCACTCATGTGTGCCATGCACACATATACAATATGGATGGAAGGCCTGGGAAGGACTTGGGCTAGGGAGACAGTGGGACGACTGGGCTTCCTAGAACACACGTCTAGTTGAAGACAAAGCAGATGGATGAAAGATGAGACTGAGTAAAGATGAAACCATTACAAGTGAACATGCACACTTTCCAGGGTTATTTGTTGCCACTGCTTTTAAATACACAACAGGCACTCACCCACGTAAAGAGGTTGGCTCCACTCGCCCCAGCTTCCAGATGCTCTGCAAGATGAGCTCACAACCGCTCTCACTTGAATGGAATATGTAGAAACATCATCAATTTTTGAGATGAATCTGTTGGTAGCCAGTTTTTCTATCTAAACAGGGGAAATCAACATTATAATAAGGTCTAGATATATAATTTCTGTGGAATACCAGCTTGAGAAGTCATGTGCAGGTAATGTAACTCATTACTTAAAAATCAATAAGGTACAGTCACGAGTTTATCCTACACTGTGCCAGTGTGAGGTCTCCCTCACCCTGAGGGAGAAAGTGATCTTGTAACTAAAATATATAAAATGGTCAGCTGAAGGGCTAAATGAAGCTGTGCAGACAAATGAAGGTTTCATATGGAGAAATTGGAGTCACCTTCAACAGCATACATAATCTGTTACCTTGTCCTTCCACATCGGTAAGCCATAGTCCTAAATAGTATGTAGTTTGTGCCTGTTCATCCCCGCCGAATGACCACAGCCTCTTCAGGCTTTGTGCTCTATTGCTTGGATGGTTTTAATAGCTACCGGCCCTGTATCCACATGGCACCCCTCACATCCAACTTTCACACTGCCACCAAGATTATCCTTCTACCCTGTCATGCTACTTTTCTCCATCCTGTAAAATTTTTTGAGGCTGCTCGTTGCCCATGGCAGTGGTTTTAAAGTAGATTCTCTTTGGCTTTTAATACAAACATCACAGTAGAGTTACAAGTCTAGTGCTAGCCTTGTGTTGGGCCAGCTCGGTCACTACCCCTTGGCTGAAGGAAGCTTGCACTCTCAATCCTCTGGGTTAGTCATTCCTTTTCCTCCAACCCACCCCTAGCAGGCACAGTGTGGTTGTGGACTGGTACAGGTCAGGAAGTGCTGCTTGCTGCTCTCTGATAAGATCAGTGCAGACAGTGAGAGGAGTTTAGAAATGGAGAGCCGTTGGACATTGCTGTGACACCCACGCACATATCGGTTGGTTTGTATTTGCACATCTTTGGCTGTTTTTGTTTGGTTTTTCTAGTTGATCCTTCTTAATGTCTTTTATGAAGGTGCAAATCTACAGCAGAATAGAATGTACAAGAGAAAGCTAATCCTTCACAGAGGATATTTCTGGAAACACACACTATGATGTCCTTCTCTCTTTTCCTCAATAGTCAAGTTTCTGTCTGACCCCCACACCCTCCCCTGAGCTACACTAGACTCCATGCTGTGAAGGCTGACAAGGCTGTTGTTCCCCATCTCCCTTCTGTACTCTGTTGCTTTTGCCTATGGTAGGGAGCCTCTGATGCCATTTGCCAGAGAGAACTCATCTTATGTATCCATTTATTTTTTACTTAATTTATTTATTTTTATTGTATTGTTGTATTGTATTGTATTGTATTGTGTTGCTTATATGTATGCCTATGGGAAGGCACCAGAACATCTGGAACTGGAATTACAGACAGTTGTAAATCGCCACATGGGTACTGGGAATTGAACCTGGATCCCCTGGAAGAGCAGTCAGTGCTCCTAAACACTGAGCAATCTCTCCAGCCTCACGTCCATTTATTTTTAGGTGAATTACCTGATTGGCAGATCATATGAAAGTAGTGTGCCCCATGATATGGCACATAATTTAAAATTAATAAGACATATGTATTCGTTTATTCCAGACTACAAAAACAAGGCCTTATTTCTCTTAATGTGTTACCCCAAGAAACTAATTTGTAGATATTGGTTAAATTTAGTCAAGCGGTGTTTACTTTGCTTCCGTTAATTATTTTTACATTTATTTGTTTGTGTATGACTACGTATGCCACAGCACGGATATAGAGTGAGAGGACAACTTGAGGCTGTCTGTTCTCTCCTTCCACCTGTGGGCTCCAGGAATTGAATGCAGGAAAGCATGCTTAGCTGCAAGGGCTGTTACCACTGAGCGACCTCACGGGTTCCTCATTTCTTTTATTTGTAGGACATCAGGTTGAATCCTGACTTCCATATTTCTTCTTTAGCTTTGTGATTATGAGAAATAATTCATCTTTTTTTCAGGGGTGGGGCTTAATTGCCAATAAAATGGGAAGCATAATTATATAAGTTATTATAAACAAGATATAAAATAACATAATAACATAATAAATAGCAAAATAAAACTCCAGAGGTGTAATATGTGCCCCCACACCATTGTCAAGCATGCAGGCCAGAAATGTTGAGCAGTCTTGCTGTTTGTGCAACCTGACTGCAACATACTTTTCATCTTGCAAGTCTAGAGTTGCTGGTTCAGGGTGTGTCTCGTGCTGTGCACGCATGAGCCCGTCCGTTCAATTCCTATCACCAAGTGATCAAAAATTCACAGTCTGGACACTCTGTTTCCATTAGCCAATGGGTCCTCATTTTCCATTCCCCATTTCCTAGCAACCACTGTACTACCTTCTGTTTATATGTGTCTTACTACCCTCGTATCTCATAAAGGCAGAATCATATGCTATTTGTCCTCTGTGATCCGTAATTTCACCTTGCTTGCTGTCCTTAGGTCCATTCGTATCATAGCATGTATCATAATTTCCTTTCAAAAAACAAATAATACCCCTTTGTATATGTTAATATATACCATGTTTTGTGTTTCTATGAATATTCTGTAGGCCTTTGGGTTTTGCTTGTTGCTTTCAAGTAGGAATCTTGGTATGTAGTCCAGACTTAGCCTCCTGGCATTCTTCCTATCTCAGCTTCCCTTCTGGTTACAGGAATCACAGATGTGTGCTACCAAACCTGACTCTATTCATTTGTTAATGGACATGGGGGCTGCTTTAGCTGCTTCAGCTTTTCACAGTTGGCTATTGTGAGATATGCTGCTGTGAGCATGTGTGTCCAAATATCTTTTTGAGACCCTGTTTTGAAATCATTTGCATGCATACCTAGAAGTAGAATTACAGGCTTTTAGGATAATTCTAACTTTTGGAAAACTTGCCTTCCCATTTTCCCTAGTAGTTGTATCATTTGTATTTTTAGCAAAGCTCTTACAAATGGGTTTTTATTTTATCCTTTGTGTTATTTTCAACTCAAAGTATGTCATTTCAAAACATAAGTACTGTAGGATTTATTTTTGTAAATACACCAGGGCAGGTGTAAGTCAACATTTACTTTGTTGATACTTAAAAATACCAGAGCAGTCACTGCTACTAAAACTTTTAAATCAGCAACTCTCAACTTGTGGGTTGCAACCCCTTTGACAAACCTCTATATCCAAAAATATTTACACTAGGATTCATAACAGCAAAATTACAGTTATTTAGTACCAATGAAAATAACTTGTGGTTGGGAGTCACCACAACATGAGGAACTGTATTAAAGAGTCACAGCATTAGGAAGGTTGAAAGCTACTGTTTTAAATCCTCCACAAATAACGGTGTCTAATATGGAATACTGGAATGATATTAAAAATTACCTGAAAGTAACCATTCTTTGTGTTGTAAATTTTCAATTCATAGTTAAAGCAATGGACTGGAAAGGCAGAAACTGGTTTCTCCCATTGGATATAAAGGGAAGTTTCTTCAATTTCAACTGTGACATTCATTGGAGGATTCACTTGATCTAGGTCAGAGAAGGAGAGACAGGTCAGTGGCAACTCTGTAAAACCAATAATCAGGGCTGATAGCCTCAACCCACCATTTCTAAAATATGCTTTTTACAAGGTTTACCATTGGGTCTCAGTCAACCAATCTCAAAGCCACAGGAAGTGAGTGGCTTCCCATGAGGTTCTCGGTATGCCTTTCTGAATAGATTTATAAAGGACAGAAATCACTACTCCAAATGGAAGTGATTGATTGACACCTTTGTGTTGTCAGCTCATTTCGAGGTATACCCAACAGCCCTTTAACTTTCCAAGTTAGACTGTACTCATGGACAGAACATGGACCATGTGCCCCATCTCCATTTCTCAGCAGGGGCATAGCTCTATGTAAATCACTTCTCTTTTATGGCTTCAGTGTTTATTTTTTGTTCTGTTGTTCTGTTTTGTCATATAAAACAAGAAGCTTCTACATGAAAATAATAGATAGAGCTAAATAGGTTTTTACAGGAGAGAAGTACTTCCCATACTAGCATCAGGACCTGACTTTGGATTCCCAGTACCCAAGTGAAAACAGCTGTAACCCCAGAGCTGGGGATGGTGGTTGGATAATAGATTCTAGGGCCTGACTAGCTAGCTAGCCAGCCAGTCTAGCAAAAATGGCAAGTTCCAATCCAGTGGAAGTTTCTGCTCCCTACAAAATAAAGCAGAGAAGCAATTGAGGAAGATATTCTTATGTTAATCCCAGGCTTCTGCATGGACAAGCACACCTGCACAAATATGAATGCAGTATACATACACATATTTTAAAAAAGCAAAAGAGGAAGAAAGGAATGGGGAAGGAAAGAGGAGGGTGGAGGAGAGAAGAGAACTGTGCGCATAGTGTTTAAAAGTCTAGAGATGAGTCCAAACCACTACGAAGGACCAATGAGGATTTGAGGGCTAGCTTTGAAAGAAGAGCCAAATATTGGAAAGCCTAAATGAATACCTTTGGACTGTAGAAGGACCACACCTTGGGGAAAAGGCCAAGAATTTTTCTGGGTGCAATCTATTGCCTGTGGACACACATTTCATGAAAGCAGGCCAGAACAGATGAGCACTGCTATGGGTTTTCCTGGTGCAGTCATTCTCAATTGGGGAGAACTCTACCCTCAAAGGGATATGTTTGAGATGTGATTTGGTCACCACTCAAGAGAGGGGAATCACAGGGAAGATACAAGCTGGAAAACTCATGGATAGAGGCCAAGAATGCCACTAAACATCTTCCCATGCCAAGGACAGTCCCCTACATTGCCAAATCATCCAGGCAAACATTTATGTAGAGTTAAAGTTGGGATGCCTGTCTGAGTTATTTTTTCCCATGTTGGTTATATGGCTGTTTAATATGTGAGAGGTAGCAGGACCCTTTCCAATGCAGGAATTGTTCTATTTCATTATTCCAATGTGGGGATAAGTCTGGCTTACCAATGGCATGTGGAGTGAACAGCTGATCAAAGGGCTTGATTGCAGCATGCTTGCTTGAGCCATTAACATGCACTGCAAGCTTATCAAACCCTTTGCTGTTGATAAATGTCCTAGGAAACCAGCATGCAGTATTTCTGTTCAGGGCATCTCTGCTGTATTCTTGGCATTCTTCAGTCCAAATACCAAACCTAAATTGGAATACCAATGAGTTTTTATAAGAGAAGAGGAAATGAATAATTTGCATAAGTAAAAATAGATACTGACCTATAGTATAAGAAATACTGTGTGTCCTCGGGGGCATCCTTGCCAACAAGCCAGGTGCAGCGAAGAGACACTTGGTATGGCCTTAAGTGGGTGTGACTACTCAGGACAGTGTTTGTGGTACAAGTTAAATTAATAACCGAGGTTCCTGAAGACCCTAGGAGACCACAAATAAAAAGAGCAAAACATTGTCATGATGGCTTGTGAATTTTGTGCTTTTGCTTGAAATACTATTGATTGTGAGTCACCACAAACATCCATTTATAGAAACTCATTTGCAAAGGGTGAATTTACTGGAGAAATGAAACTAGAACTATAAAGCCTCAGATTTTGACATCAAAGAACTTTTCAGCTACTTTAGATGAAGATACATCTAAAGTGTGTCATGGAGAAGGATGTCTGAAAGTTCAAGTCTAGTGTCATGTGTGCAACAACTTCAGCACTCTAGTGCTTTATTTGTCAGTACCTGACTGTGAGGTATCTCTCCATATAATGTCTGAATTCCAGTTTTTCTAGCTGGAAAAGAGATTAGGTAAAGGAATCTCTCTAAAATCTTCTTCCCTCTTGAATCATATGAACCATTCCTTGGTATCTATGGCTCATGAATTGCATGGATTACTGACCAGGAGATGTATTTTGGAAATAACCCAAGATCTTACATTATATGAGAGACCAGTGTACCTTAGCTTGGCAGACTCCTTAACATACCATGACTTCAAATCTGAGATTTCAAATGTTTGCTTACACTGGACTTCCCCAAATTATGTCTGTCCTGCCCCAAGCACTCATAAAACAAACTTCTTGTTGTTCCTCGAGGAAAGAAAAACGTACTTGGGGGTAGAGTCATGGAGAACAAACATCCCTAAAGAGGAGACCCTGAATGATGGACGGGTTTTTATTTTCTTAAAGCATCTATAGATTAGCTTTTATCACTGTCATCTAGTGCTTTTCAATGGACAGAGGGGGTGGTTAGAGGACAGAGCCTCCTAATGCCATATAGAAGTTGGAGACAGAAAACTTCCCAGTTCCAATTCAAATAGTTCGGTATGAATTTTCACTTGGTTAGTGGCTTAAGTAAAACTTGATTAGTGTGAATGTATCGGGAGTACTAAGGGAATAATTACAACTGTAGAAACTTAACACTGAAAGGAATATCACATAGAGGAGGTTCAGTTATTCAGCAGAGGTAAGATAATGGCTTAATGCAAAATATGCAATGGCCCATATTTATATTCATCTATTCCTCGAAGTACCCTCCTTACTTAGGGGCAAGCCTGAAAATGATGAGTAAATGCAAGCATCTGTGTTATTACCAACACAGTTCAGGGGTTTCTGAATAGGGACCTTTGGGGACCCTTGCCATTTTTATGCCTCCCTTTTGCTTCCTGGCTATAGACCTCTACCACCTGCTTCTGGAGTGATTTGCTTTGTTGTTACATGGACTAAAAATAGGCCAGACAGGTCATGGGTGGAAACCCCCACCGAAGGCAGAAACAAACTAAGTCTATCATCTTACATATCTTTGTTATAGTAAAAAGAAATCTGACTATTTAACACAGGAGGCAGAATCTTCTTATCCAACGATGTAGACTGGAGAAAGACTTGAAAAAGACTCACATATGTGGAGCTAAGATGTATATGATTTAGGAAGTTACATATCCCGGGATCTGATGGCCTATCTCCTCCTCCTTGTGTTTGTGTATTTCTGTGTTAAATGTTCAATCAGAGCTATCTCTGTTTATGTGTACCAGAAACCCCAGCTTCCACTGAAGGCCAGTGTAGATCCAGGGGCGTGCTTGCAGAGGTACAATGGATGGACCTGGATGGCCTATGAGAGCTGTGGTTAGAATGTGGGTGCTATGGAGGAGATTGGAAATTATGGTGCTGGGCTAGAGAAGAGTGGCTTTCTTTCCCATTCTGAAAGGGTAAAATAGGAAACTTAGATGTCCCATGTCTCCTTTACCTGGCGAAGCTTTGAGTTCAGCAGAAACCCAACTGCTGGCCAGCAAAGAGTGGCTTCTCCACAGGATGCTCCTCACACTAGCTGCAAAGCCGTCATGAAGCGGGGCCACATATTTGCTCTCAGTCTTCCTGGTGTTATACTAAAATAAAACCCGCAAGTCATGGCACATGGCAGAGAGCAACATTAATCCGGTAGGCCTTTCACTCCACTTTGAAAATGGTAATAAGTAAAAATGGAATGAAGTAATTTTCTTAAGAAAGAGGCACTATAATATTAATAGAGTTTCTCAATGACACATAAACATATTCCTCTTTTAACAACAAATACCATATTGTAATGAAGGCTCAAGTTCCTTTAGATTCTCATCTTTAATGCCAGTCTCCTCTCCAGGAGCAACTTCTTGACAGGAAATTCTTTTAAAATTTCATGTTTAATCCAAAATGGTTAATACAAAAGCGCATCTCCCTTTCCCTCGCCTAACTACAAATGTGATACACAGCAGGTGTCTTAGCATATCTCCATCATAAATCTGAAAAATCAACTCAAGACCTTGGGATATAAACATAGGTAGTGAATGACCTTGGCCTTTACCTTGGGTTTTCCGACGGTGTACTGTACCTTTCCCTTGTACCATTTTGCTCACTACTTTCTTCTAGTTTTATTGGCATTTTAGGAGATATGCAATGCATATCAAATTTAGGAGATATCAAATTCATTCCAAGTTAGCAGTTGGTAAATATTCTGGGAAGATGACTCAGTCAACAAAGTGACTGTTGTGTGAATACAATGACTTGAGTTTGGGTCCCCAAAACATATGGAAAATTCAAGACACATGACAGTAGGCACCCATAACCCCAACCCTGTGGGTAGGGCAGAGGTAGGTGGATCCCTGAAGCCTAGTCAAAATTGATAAGCTTGCAATTCACTGAGAGACTTCTCTCAAAAAAAAAAAAAAGGTCTTGGAGAGGGATCAAGCAAAGTGTCAGGCCTTGGCCTTCAGACCCCTGCATACAAGCCCACACTAACAAGTATATAACATACACATGTGTATTCTCTCTCTCTCTCTCTCTCTCTCTCTCTCTCTCACACACA